ACTACTGGGAAAATAACTGGATGCCTTTCGGTGTAAGGATTTATTGTATTTGTCCGTCTATTTAAAGCTGAAAGAAAAAGGGAAATTCATCCCTTTCACTGTCAAGGAAGTTTCAGTACCACTTTCTGTTTATTTCATTTTGCAATGCAAACATAAAAAAAACACAACACAAAAACCCAAAAAAAACCCCAAACCAAACAAAAAACCAGCGGGGGAATGTCACAAACCTTACCCTGAAGTGTCTGGAGTCTTCCACTGGGTTTAGTGGGTAAGGGTTTGAGCCTTTAGCCATGGTTACACTTATCTCATGCTGTACTCCGAACCTCACTTTCTAAGACTTCTTGAAGATCAAGGCAGGTAACTATTTCCTCCTCCCTTCCCCTAAGAAAAAAATACTATGTCCGTTCACACAGTTGTGAATCTCTCAAACTGAAAATAGACATCTTTTGACACCAACTGGGTAGCTGCTGTGTCTTTGGTTTTTCTTCAGGAAGAGCCTGAGTTTTGGACTGAACATTTAACCCCACCCCTTTATTAATCCTGAGCTCTGGTGCTGGACATTCAATGCCCTTCTAATGTATGGCAGCAAGAACTATTTTTAAGTTGCTGGATTTCTATATTTGTCATTCATAATTGCCCCTCATTTAATTAAAAATAATCCCCTTTATTTCTCATTAATCTGTTGTGGTTTTTTTTTTTTTAACAAATTACTGTACTTGAAAGAATTTCATGCATGCTTTCCCCACTTTTTGGTGACACATTCATCACACTGGGAACTACTTCAATAGGCGTTTGTATAAAATCCCCATAGTAAACAACTAAGAAGCGAAGAGAGACTGTTTAAGTTTCAGTGCCAGCATTCTGAGACAATTATTAATGCTTTTGCTTATTTACAGATATATTTCCTCTTCTTAAACGTATCACTTAAAGCCACAGAATGTTCAGCGTTTTCTTGAGCACTGAATCTGTTCTGCATTTCAGAGCTGAATTAACCTTAGGCTACCCCTTTCTTGCACTACTTTGCTTTCATTCCTGAAAGTTTAAGAATAGGAACGTTGATTTATAAAGCGGAGTTTATAGATTAAAGAAAGCAAAACGTGAACATTCCTTGTATCATTTATCTCCCGACTAGTAACTGTTGCTCAGCCATACATATATTCTGAAAATTTACCAGCAGAAATACCTCATTTTCCTTATTTGTTATGATGGCGGGAGAGCAATTTTCAAAATTATAAACAAAAATCCATAGGGTGAGCAAAATTTTGGATGGTGGACTGTGTGTTTGTCTGTGTGCTTGCTCTTTTTCCCTGGGATTCACATATTGCAGGGGAATGAGAGGATAGCAATATTTCGCGCTATGCTCTGTTATGCTCTTGTTTGTGATTGAGAAAGCAAGGTGAAATGTACTTTCATGGTACTTTTATAAACTGACTCAACAGTTTTCTTTTGCCCTAACCCAGGTTTTAAGCAGTTTGTGAAGTTTTCTTTGAAGATGTTGAATAGGCTGCTACAGAACAGGGTGAAATTGTCAACTGTTCTTGTTGTAAAGGACTGGGAAATACTGCTTGCTTTACTTAGTCATCGACCCCTGCATGTTACAGCTGTCAGTGTCTCCAGGTTTTGTAATTGCTCTCTCATTATCTTCAGAACGTTTCTTTCAACCTGCATAGGCCCAGAAGTGGGTCAGTAAACTTGCCTGCAAGTTGAGAGGTGATGCACACAAATCTTTAGATGTTAACATTTTTACAGTGAATAATGGCATCGGCATCCTTGCCTTTGTAACTCAGCTCTGTGTATGTCAAGGATGTAGGAGTAAAAAGATTATACTAAATTTGAGGATAGGTTACAAATAAATTTGCTTATTTTAAAGTGCACTAATGGTCAGAATTATCTGTGGGCTAATGAGGTGTGGATGAAAACCATGTTGAGTGTATCAAAAACATATTCTTGGAGCGCTTTGTTGCTTTGTGGTACGAGTTGTTCTATATGGAATATTTTGGATTTTTCTAATGCCTCCCTTTCTCATTACTTGCCTGTGACTTTTGAGGCCATCTTATTTCTGGTTTTTATAGAGCAGGTTTTGATTCTCGGACTATGCAGAACACATAAAATGCAAAATTACTTCATGCGATTGTCTAAGTTGGCTTACTTAGGTCCAAGTTTTCTTAAAACTTCAGTCAGGAGAAAAGCATATTCGTGCCTATATAGAAAGTGTAATCTAGGCTTGCTGAAAAAAAACAAAAAGAAAGTGAATCCGCCAGCGTTAAGGAAGCCTAAAATGCTATGGCAAAAAAAAATATCTGTGCTATGCTGAAAAGATCAGGGAGAGGCTGAGTACTGTTGAAGGAGTTCTTCTAAGCACTGTAACTTCATACATTTAATTGTGAGAGATAAATACATGTTATAAGTAAATTTGATTCCAGTTAAAGTCTAATGTAATTAAACACATGCCTCTAGGCATGACAAGCTTTTTTTTTTTTTTTTAAGTTTGATATGGAAAAATGTTTTTATATAGCACAGATTTCCAAGGAAAGGCTTGCAGGTAATACCAACTATTCATATTTTTGACTGTATTTACAATAGTATCATACAGAATCATGGCTGTTTAACCTACAAAAACATTTCAGGAATCCAGTGTTTCAATAGCTGTTCAGCTGGTTTTTGTTCATTGACAAATTTCATGAAAGGAAAACAATACTCTTTTTTTTCCGGTGTTTTTAACATCTTTTATAAGCTACTTATTCTCAACATCAAAGCAGTAAAAAAGTTACATCTCCAGGGAAGTTATTTCAAACACATCTAAATATCATAAATCATATGTGCTTGTTTGAAATGATCTCTAAAAAGCAGGTCATTTTGATAAATGATTATAAATACTGTGAAATCATGGGTTTTGAGGACTTCTGATTGGTTTCTGAAACACATCAGCAAGAAAAATGAGCTGCACACTTGTAGTCAAAAAGAGCTGTGTAGCTGATTCATCAATATGTCTGTGCTTTTCAGCATGGTTGTAAACGGAAGCAAAAAAAAGTACATAATGAAGCATAGTTTTTCTGGAAAGAGTTAATTTGTTTGATATCCAGTATCAAAGCATCACTTACCATTAAAAAAAAAAACACAAAACAAAACAACACAAAAACACCTGTGTAGATTTCATAAATGAAACAAGTTCAAAATATGATGACTAATAATCATATTTTTTAGGAGAAAAGTTTTAACGCTGATTGCTTAGCAAATGTTGGTAGTTCATGCTACCTGGGTTATTTGCTGGATTGTTTAATAGATGAAAATTTGCAGTGCATTCACTTTTGCTCTCAAGAAGTATAATCAGGAGCTTTTCTAAGACTGTAACATTTTTAAACGCTATTTTACTGATACATTCTCAGAATTCTTTGCCCATAGCCAAAGAGTAATTTTGTGTGGATAGAAATAAGTATGGCCTCTAATTATGTGTTTCTATCTGTTTATACATATCGATCAGTAGGATTTACACTCCCCCCCCATCCCACTCCTTTAGAAACATCGAGGTCCCAATCCAGACGTTCACTGGAGCACAAATGTTTTTGTGAGAAGGTATGTTGACTCTAATGGAACTACTGAAGTGCTCAAGGCTTTTTAAGCCATTGGAGCTTAATTCTGTTACTCTGTTTTAAGTCTTTGGCACAGAAACGTAAATGCATGCAGTCCTTTTATTATTTGGTATCAAGGAACTCAGTGAGCGAAGGGTCTGGATGTGTAAGAAGTGTGGTACTAGAACCAAATGCAGGAGGATATATGGGCACATGGGGATCAAAGGTCCAAACATTCTGGCAAAGCTGGAGAAAATTTCACTCAAACTTTTCAAAAAATCATGGTTGTACTTACCTTTCAGGATTTTTAATATGCTGTTGCATGGTAGGGCCAGAAAAATGCTTTATAATTTGCATATATATTTAGTGATGAAATATTAGGATTGCCTGATGGTTTGAGCATTGCCAATCCAGCATTATATATAAAAAGCGAATTTCAATTTCATTGGTTTTAACATTCTAGGATAAAATTTGTCCTAACATATCTAACATTGCTAGCATTTTGCACAGTAAGTAATCAGATTCTGGATTTTTTTTTGTCAGACTTATTGCCCTTTTTAGACATGCTAGTTATTTAATAAGTGCTTTTTAATTGAGCCTGTTAATCTGCATAGAGTTTGCTGTTTGGAAATACTGATTCTTTTAGTGATGTGATGACTGGATATGCCGTATCTTTGAAGTCCTCAAGAGTAGGATTGAGCTCTGTGTCTTGAAATTCAAGGGAAGGTGAGAACATTGTCTTTGCTGCTGTCTGCTAATAATCTGATACTGCTCACCAGGCTATTGCTTTCAGCAAATACAATGTTACACGGCAGTATGCGTGGTCACTGCAGCGTTTCTTTCAGTAGAAAAATGTATTCTACCAAGCAGTTTTGCTAGTCTCCAGAAAAGAAGCGAAATAAGTCTGGTTTCATCTGCTAGAATGAGCAAAGTTTAAATCCACCAGTAAAATGTAGTTATGGTGGGTGTGGGTTCGGTTCTTATTTTTGCTATGTTAGCCTGTGTCCTTGTTCTAATACACTTAAGAATGCAACATGAAAGGGCGTGAAAGGAAAGTCATATTTTTTAAATATAAATACTTGCATATGTGGCTAATAAGGCTTCTAACAAAAATAGTGTGATGTTAGAGAAGTTTGATAAACAGTGCTTGAGGCTCCTTCATTACATCAGTGCACAGCTGGGTACTGAACCCAGCCTTATGGTCTGTCTCCAGCCTGTGCCCTATCCTTTTATGTCTGTTTCCCCAACCTATACAATAGCGATACCAGTGCTTTCCTTCCATTTGTAAAGTACTGTAAGCTTTTATTTAATGAAAAGCTTTGTGTGCGTGTGTGTGCGTGCGCGTGTTTTTTTTTAGTAGCCTGTAAAGACTTACAGATCTGCATCACCATTTCTCCAGTGCTGCTGGTGGCAGGGTAGGAGCGAAACAGTATGCAGCCACCCCGCAGAAAAAAACGCCTTCCCATTACTCAGCAGGGCAGTCGCATCACCTTCGCCAGTGTGAGTGTGTGTGGCTGCGTAGGTGTGCGCAGCAAGAAGTCGTTTGACTTCTGGGGTGAGTGCCTGGGGTCTTCGATGATGGGATAGCTGCTTTTCTATTGTATTTAATGAAAGTTTGAATTCAAAAATAACCTGATGTAATTGTGTTGGATGCACACAGTCTAGTCCTATATGTATTTGAAGTACCTGAGTCACTAAAAAAAGTTATTAAAATAAATGGTTTATAAACAAAAATGTTAATGGAAGTTTCACCTGGAAGATATTGATGATGAAACTGATTTTTGGTAGTACCAGATTTTAAGATGTGTGTTCTTACTATGAATGTAGCTTAGCTTGGGAGAAGGAGATAGACCAGTCAGCCATGCCAGTGCTTATGATTTTTGTGATACAGTCTTGCATGCTTCCAGCTGCAAAACCAGCAAAGGAACGCTCGATTAAAAAAACCACTGCTGCCATCAGTCTTAGTTTTCTAGCGTGGTGGAAACGCATTTGTTATCCTTGTTACTTTTTAATATATATTACAAAATCTGTGTCCTTTGATAAGTTTACCTAAACCATATAAATTTAAAATAATATTTTAAGAGACAAAAATTTAAATCACAATGATGTTATTCAACCTCTGCTAATTTTGTATATATATCTGTAAGTATGACTAGTGCAGAGCTGCATCACTGTATCCTAGCATTCACTGAGTGATGCAAAGTGGAAAAAAAATCACTAATATAATGGGATATAGCAGTAGACAGGCAGGAAAAGTTGCTTCTAGAGTCTTCTACTAAACATTATAAATAGACAGTTTAGTCTGTCAAAATTCTACTTGTTAACATCAATGATATTAAAGATTGTAAATTAAGGAAGATGTCCTTCATTATGAAATCTTGGACCTACGGAAGACAGTAACATGCTTCCTATTTGGAATGTGAGTTTCTTTTGCATATGGAATTGTGACTTTCGCAAATATTTTTGGAGGTAGGCTACTTGACTAGAAGTTGTGCACATTACTAAATAGGCATGTGACTATACATCAAAAACAAAATCAGAAATCACATTTGGAAAATGGCTACTGAATATTTTGTTGTTTAATGATGAATGTAATAATTTAGTGCTATGTGGTTTGAAATCACTGGAGTTTCTTGCTCAATAAAAAGAAAGAAAAAGCAGTCTGAACTTTGTACTGAAAATTACCTGTGCTGAATAAACCTTGCAGGAGTAGGAAAAGGGGCCCTTAGAATACATAAACAAAAGAATACATACATGAATACTTAACAGTCATTTGAAAGAAAAGTTATTTTGTACTCGAACCTATGTTTCCTTTTATCTTTCTTTTCAACAAATGAAACAAAATAATTGACCAAGCAGCAGAAGAAACAAGGCTCAAAGGAATGAGTCAAATCTTTCATTTATGATGGAAGAGCATAGTTTTACTAAACCAATAAAATCCAGTGGATTATGAAACCCTAACTGGAAGCCAAGTAATTTTTCTTTCGTTTTTTTTTTTTTTTTTTTTTAATGAAGCTGCTTCTTGGACTAGAGAAAATTGGTTGGTTGAACATTATTTTATAGCAAATAGGATATGAAAAACTAAAACTGAAACAGATTACTGCAGGCTTTTAAAAGCCCTTCTTCCTTCTGCATTCTCTCAGATCTCTAATAGCTATTTTTTATTTTTAGCAAGTGAGTTCGAACAACTGCTGCCTTACATAAACTGTGTTCGATGCACTTCAGTATCTCCTGCCACATTGTAAGCTTTAATTCTTAGGCTGTGATCCTACAATGATGCCAATATGCATTTAATTTTGTATGTTGGGAGATGAATGAAATCTTGGGTGTGCTGAAGTCAAAACTAACTATTGAGTGGAGCCAGGACTTCACAGCAGAAGTAGCCATATTACTTTGATATGAAGACACCTGAAGTTAAGTGTATGTTTACACATTTTTGTGAACTGGGGGCATTAGTCACTTAGATTTACCAAGCGGAAAAAACTGTTTCCCACTTTGGTCCTTCTAAAAATAGATACTAAAAAATCTGTTGGACATATGTGGACTGACAATACAGCTCTGAAGAGAGCTGAATGAACCATGGGGTTTTCTACCTGCCAAATGAAAACTGGCATATTGCAGAAGAATGCAATGCACCTTGAGCGTGCATGGGGGCTTCCTTGGAAGGGGGTGTTTTTTGCAAGGTGAGGCAGACTCCTCGGGCACATCAGTCTCAGCAGCTTTTCAAGCCTTTTCAAGATGTAGGCACCATCCTTATAGGATATGTGGACACGCAAAACCTACTTGTCAAAATGTGCTTATTATTGTAAAAAGAATGGTAGGAACAGTGACTAGGTGTCTCCTAAATTCATGAAAATATCAGTTTAGTGAAGGAAAAAGAACTGGAATCAGATACGTTGATAAACCATATGGCGGCATATTTTGTGAAGCTTTGCTACACTGAACTGGTAGAAACAGTGTGAATGGAAGCTTGTGCGGCGATGGCAATGTCGACTGCTCGAAGGTACCTTGTAAAGCTTTGTTCTTAGAATGTCAGACAGTATTTTCTGCCAGACAAAAACAGCAGGCTAATGTGAGCTAAGACATGTTCACTCTTTTCAAATTGATATTTTTTTAACTAGACTTTAAAACCGAGTAAGAGTCCACGAGGCATACTCGCCTTACGTAGAGCTTGGGGAAAACTGAGAATGTTGTGTGTCCTTGCACTTTGGAATTACTAACTTGATTGACTCAAAAGTGACACAGTAATATTGAGCTCTTTTAAAAAATTTTCTTTTTTTCCTTTCTATATTCTTGTTTTGGGAGTACCACAATGACCTCAAGCCGCAGCTCTGTGTTAAGTCTTTGCGTTCCTCAGGACATTAGAACAATACACACTAATTGTCTCACTCCCGGCTCCATCTCCCTCCCTCCTTCTCTTTCTTTTTTACACAAGTCCATTTCTGAAGGAGTGTGTGCCTGTAGAGCCTTTCCATTTCCATTTATCCTTGCAGAATGAGCACTTTCTTTGTTGCAAAAAACCCCCCACCCTTTACCTTAATTAGATTTCTGTTAGATGTTAACCTACAATAACTTAAGAACTGTAGTGATCCACGAAATAGAACAGTACTGTTTGTTAGGTAATGTTAGTTTGTTAGACAATGCAGGATGAAACAGTTATGGAGCAGTGGAGCAGTCAGAAAAAAAATAGGAGGCTTCATTAGCAGCAGCTCATAAGGCAACTGAATCTGCAGCATTACCTTTTCTTGTATCATTGCCACTTAATTTACATGATTTCCTAATAAATTATATTATTGGGCCGATAAAAAGAGTGACTATTCTGTCTCTATTTGTTTTTATGAAATAATATATTATTACTGAAAGTAGTAAATAGAACAACTTTAATTTAAAAAAAATTATGTCAATAAGCGCAAGAGAAAAAGCTGGCAACAAGGGCACAAATATTTTGGATTGGTTTACATTATGAAGAAATATGCTGCCAGACTTTCCTGTAGCTTTGGTTTAGCTTTGCATTTTAATTTTTTTTCTCCACTCATTATGACTCTTTGCTTTTTTACACTTTGATGGATTGCTACAACTTTTTGAGGCAAACATCTGTATTACTTTAATATGAGGGTATGTACAGTAATCTAACTATTTAAACCTTATAAAGCTATCTTTATTTCACTGGTTACAAACTGAAATTTAGACATGCAGAGAAGGCACCGATCAGATTTGCAGTCTGCTAGCATGAGAAACATCAGAGATTTAATGTTTTTGTATTTGCAAACAAATCAGGAGAACTTTGCCAGAGATGACACCCAAACAAACACATTTTTTTTGGATAGAGATTATGTGTTTCAAGTACAGTGGCTAAATGCATCCAGCAATTTTGAAGTATGTTTGGTGAAATACAACTTAGAGAATGACCCAGTCCTTCAAGTTCTCAGGAAAGCTGTTTCCTTCCCTGCCGCAAAAGCCACTCAGTGCTTTGCCGGTCAGTGTACTGATGCTCTAATCCTGTTGAAATTTAGGTTACTGTGTATAAGTCTCTCGGAATTAAAAGAATAACATTGAAAAAGTTAAGCACAGGCATGTCAGTTGCTATTCTGTCATTGTTTTCTTTAGCTTGATGGTGCGTGGCTAAGAAATGTTTGTAGTTCCACAACATATGGGTAGATACTATAAAAATTTTATTTATGGAGGCTCTGGCTTGCTTTGTGTTTTTCAAACATGTTTCCACAACTAATTGATAGCCTTAATTCACACACACACACACACACACACACACACAAAAACCCCAAAACCTAAAAGCTGCATATTAACCTTGAAACACATGGTTGAGTTGATTATGAAGGTAAGTGGAAAGCTTGATGCTACCCATATAGTGGAGTCTGGCTGCATGCCATTGCTGACCTATTAATTAAAAATATGTTGTTACTGTATCAGCAAACTGTTACTACTTACGTTGGAGGTGAAATCCACACTGAGCTAGAAAGGCAAGAAATGCTGCTCTTATCTGAGCTGTTCATACGAACCTACATGGAGCCTTACTAGTTCAGAAGTATTTGAGAGGGGTACATGTTCCCGAAATACCTCTGAAAGAGTATTTCTGCAAGTTTGGGAATGGCCATACTGAAGCAAGTCCAGGGAACGTGTGTAGCATATTGCACATCAAGCACAAAAAGGTCTTGCTAATCAGCCTTTGCACCTTCCCTGTCATGTTATTTAATGCCCCCTATTTCTCAGCTTTCTGTAAAGCCTAAGAGCTGGCTTTGTGCAGTTAAGATCTGGGTTTTTTTTATAAAAGCGGTCAGCATTTCCTTTTCTTCCAGGGCAAGAATGCACAGATGTAGGAAAAAAATTCTCACAAAAAAGACTTGGGGGTAAGCACAAAGCATCTTTTTACAAGGCAAAACAATTCTGTCCTTCGTTTCCCCAGCACAAGGCTGTGGGCTGCTATTTGTTCTGAAGAGAGTGAGAGCTATGGTTTAGAAGACCTTTTTTTGCCACTAGAGTTTGCAAATTGTGTTTATCTATCTTCTCTCCCTCTGACACATTTTCAGACTGTTAGGT